GCTCAGCTACAGCATACAAATGCATGTTTTACCGGTGTATTCAGGATGTTTAGGCCCATGTTCGCATATTTGTCTCCAAGGCTTACATCGATCATCGCATCCGCCAGCAGTTTTTTCATATCATCTTCGCTTAGTTTGGTGTGTAGTACTGCGAAGCAGTTGCTGTCCTTGACATCCTGAATTTGTGTGTTAAAAAAAAGTGTCAAGCAAGACGCATACAGTTTGTGCCTTTTGCATTTTTCGCCCATTTGTTCCGATGGTAAATTGGTACTGACGCATGCCACGAAATCAGACTCGTTATCAGAATGCTTTTAAGTAATTCTCGAGTGATGCCTATGAATGGTTTGTGTTGGCAATTACTGTCCTCAGAATACTTCCGAATGCCTCAGTTTTCAGGGACAGTGGATACGGTGACTTTGATTTTGCAGTTTTTTTCTCTCCCCTCTCTCTCTTGTAATTCTTTAATAAAATGTTTTTCGATTTTGACTTGCATTTATTTGCAAAACTTACTGTACCTTATTAACAAACACTGAAAAAACTGTTAAGAGCACTAAGCATTGTATATGTTTTTAATTCGACCAGATCTCTTTACTATTCCCATACAGTTCAATAAGGGTTTCTGGTTCACAAATCATGGTGTGCTCAGCTTTTTTTCTACTTGCTTTCACCTTCGATGAAAACTTCAGATATGGTCGGAACCAATGAAAAACTAGCTGCATAAGACTTTGTTTGGATAGTTGTCGACTATGTTCTGCAAAGAGTTCCTATCATGACGATCTAAGAAAAACGTTCGCCTCACTCAGCTCGCCACGAAATTTGTTGTGAAAAAAGTAAATTTCATTAATGAAGTACCGTAACTAACTCATTCCGGTCTCGACTCTTCCGCATACCAGATGTTCCACTCATACCAGGCTCTTAAAAGAACTGATATTAACTGAACAGCCTTTCAGAGCAAATTTGCAAATTTGACGGCATTTGTAATAAAACAAGATTGGTTTGCAGAGAATGACCGTCGTGCAGCTGATGAGGTTATCTCATGTTAGTGATGCAACTCTAATGTTCCCATTCGCTGAAGACAGCAAAACTAAGCCCTTTGATTCAGGACCGCATATTTTCTGTTGTTTCCTTTATTCGATGCAAAAAACAAAATTTACGCAAGAAGATAGAAGTACTAA